CTCACTCACTTTGCCGGGAGGAAGCGCGCGAAAAAGTATTTCACCCACCTCCTCTCCGTCAAGCAGCAACACGAGGAGTCCCTCCGGTCATTCATCGACCGGTGGACGAGGGAGACCGAGGAGGTCGAGGGGGCCGATGAGCGCACCCTCCTCGCTTTGTACCAGGGAGCCCTCCGCAGCTCCCCGTACGCTAGGAGCCTCATCACCGACCCCTCGAGGTCGTACGCCAAGGCGCTCCAGCGCGGAGGCTTGTATGCCGACGCCGACGAGCTCCACAATCACAAGACGGAGGGGGGCCATCCCCCCAAGAAGACAAATCCTTCGCCGGCCCCGGGTCCGTCCCCGGCCGGCCAGGGTGCCCAGGGCCGCCACGGCTCTGGTGGACAAAGTAAGAAGGACCGCCACTGGCGTCCGAGGTTGGAACGGCCGGGGGTAACCCTCACCCACCCGGTCGGTATCATCCTCGATTATGCCGAGAAGCACGGCCTCATCGAGCAGGCTCCTCGGCCGGCCGAGGAGATCCTTGCCATCCAGCAGGGCAGGACATACTGCCGGTTCCACAAGAACTCGTCGCACAACACCGACGATTGCATCACACTGAAGAAGGCCATCGAGCGCCTTATTCTCCAGGGGGAACTCTCCCAGTTTGTCAAAGGTGGCCCACGCAAGAACACTTGGGTAAACACCGGCAAACATGTGGGCGAACCCTCTGCGAAGAAGCGGGAGATTGGTAGGCTAAGCGACGACGAGGACTTCCAAGAGCCTCCGCCGAAGAAGAATCACATCCACCTCATCGTAGGCGGGAACACTGGGGGGGACTCCGCCACTCAGAGAAAGAAATGGGCCCAATCCCTTTACATTGGGGAGGTGTCCCACGTTCCCCCCCAGCCGAAGAAGCAACGAACGGAGGCGATCACCTTCACCGACAAGGATCTGCCTCCGGGTACGGAATCACACAGGGACGCCCTCGTCATCCGATGTGACATCGGTGACTCCATCATCCACCGTACTTACATCGATACGGGGAGCTCCGTCAACGTGATGTACCTGGACACCTTCAAGCAGCTGAAGCTGGACAGAGCTCTACTGAAGCCGATCAAGACACCGTTATCCGGCTTCACCGGGGACTCTATCGACGCCGAGGGCACGATAGTCCTCCCCGTGGAGGTCGGTGACGGCCCCCACCACGCCAAAATTAACATGGAGTTCATGGTGGTCAACCTCCAGTGCGCCCACAACCTGATCTTGGGCCGGCCAGCGCTGGAGGACTTGGAGGCCATCATCTCCATGAAGCACTTGTGCCTGAAGTTCCCCACCAACAACGGCATCGGCTACGCCAGAGGAAATCAGAGGATAGCCAGGGCATGCTACCTCAAACTGACGAGGCCGACCGAGAGGGAAGGCCAGAGGATAGACACCATCACGGCCGCCGTCGCCATGGACGAGGAGAGGCCACATGCGGAGCTGGCCGAGGAGGTCGAGGAAATCCCTCTGGATACCTCCCGGCCGGAGCGGGTTCTCAGAGTCGGAAAGCAACTCCCCCAGGACCAACGAGACGCCATCCTCCTCGTCCTACGGTCATACGCCGTTGTCTTCGCGTGGGGCCCGGACGATATGCCAGGCATCAGCCGCCAGGTGATCACTCACCGGCTGACCGTCGATCCGGCCTCCGCGCCTGTCAAGCAGAAGAGGCGTTACCTGTCCGCCGACAGGAGGGACTTCGTCAAAGGGGATGTCGCCATGCTCCTCTCAATCAAACACATCAAAGAGGTGAAGTACCCGACATGGTTGGCCAACGTCGTCCTCGCCCAGAAACCGCCGACGTTCAGAATGTGTGTTGATTACACTGACCTGAACAAGGCATGTCCCATGGACCCGTTCCCTCTCCCCAACATAGATCAGCTGGTGGATGAAACGGCGGGGTGCGAGTTGATGTCGTTCCTCGACGCTTTCAGAGGGTACCACCAAATCTCCATGCATGAAGATGACGCTGAGAAGACGGCATTCATGACCCCAGAGGGAATCTTTTGCTACCTCATCATGGCCTTCGGACTCAAAAACTCCGGCGCCACCTACACTAGGATGGTGGCCAAGATCTTCAGAGCGGTCCTTGGCCGGACGATGGAGGCGTACGTCGATGACATGATCGTCAAGAGCAGGCAGGCCTCCTCCCACGCCGACGACCTCCGGGAAATCTTTGAAATCATGAAGGAGTTCAGGCTCCGGCTCAACCCCAAGAAGTGCGCTTTCGGCGTCCAGGGTGGCAAGTTCCTCGGCTACATGGTCAGCCGGAGAGGCATCGAGATAAACCCGGAAAAGACGCAGGCTATCATCAACATGAAGCCGCCCCGTAACGTCAAGGAAGTACAACGACTGACGGGGCGCCTAGCAGCCCTGAACCGGTTCCTCTCCAGGTCAGCCGAGAGGGCACTCCCTTTCTTCCAGATCATGCGTAAAGCCAACAGCTTCAGGTGGACGACGGAGTGCCAGGAAGCATTCGACGAATTGAAAAGGTACCTGTCGTCCCCACCCGTGCTCTCCAAGCCCAAAGCCGGTGAAACCCTCTTCTTGTACTTAGGGGTGAGCACGTCGGCCATCAGCTCCATGCTCATCCGTGAGGACGAAGGGGTGCAGAAGGCCATCTTCTACATCAGCAAGACACTCAGGGAGGCCGAGCTCAGGTACTCCCCCATCGAGAAGACGGTGCTGGCCATCGTCCATACGGTGAAGAAGCTTGGACACTACTTCCAGGCCCACACTGTCCATGTGCTGACCCAACAGCCCCTCGGCGCACTCATGAGGAGCCTTACCAGCTCCTCAAGGATGGTGAAATGGGCGATCTTCCTCAGCCAGTTTCAGATCGAGATCAAGCCAAGGCCATCCATCAAAGGGCAAGCTTTGGCCGACTTCGTCATTGAATGCACAGCAAGGGAGACGGCCGTCGCCAACCCCGGGCCGGAGCCGGACGATACGTGGACCCTGTTCACTGACGGCTCGTCGGCCGCGAAATCATGCGGCGGCGGCGTCGTCCTCATATCCCCTGAAGGATTTAGAGCTTACTATGCCATCCGCTTCAACTTCAGGGTATCCAACAACGAAGCCGAGTATGAGGCCCTCCTCAGCGGCCTCAGACTCGCCGCCGGCCTCAAGGCCAAGCACCTTAAAATCAAGTGCCATCCCCAGCCGACGGGTGGAACAATATGAGCCTGACACCAACGAAGAGAACATGAAGATTGACCTACACCTGGTCGATGAGAGGCGTGAGCAAGCCTACGTCCGAGCAGAGAACTACCGGCGTCACGTAAAATCATACTATGACGCCAAGGTACGTTCCCGGGAATTTCAGGTGGGGGACTACGTCCTCCGCCGACGGGAAGCAAGCCAGCCGACAGAGGGTGGCAAGCTAGCATTGAAGTACGAAGGGCCCTACATCGTCAGTGCCGTGGTCAAACCCGGCACCTACAAGCTTAAACGTCCGAATGGGTCCAATGTACCACGAACGTGGAATGTACACCATCTGGTGAAGTTTTATCAGTAATCCGAAGGAGGTGCAGACGGCGAAGCCCTCACCCCTTAACGGGTTACTGATTGAACGCCACCCTCGGCCTCGCGCCACTTATGAATAAAATCATGTTCTGATTTTTTCTCTGGAACTTAAAGTAAAACATTAGCAGGTGCCCCCGTCGGCCACCTTAGAGCGAAAGGCTCAGGCATGGCCAACATGGCCCCTGGCATTTGCTGCCTACGAGCGACAAGCTCCGGCACTCCATTGTAATTTGTATCAGCGAAGGGCTCAGGCCTAGCTGAGAGAGCACATCGTCCTGGCCCCGTAAGCCTAGAAGTGAAACGCTCAGGTATGGCCGACGATGTCCCCAGGACGAGGGGCCCACAAACGGCCCACGTCTTGAAACGGGAAGCTCACCGCGTCGTCCACGCGCCAGATCGCAGGACGACATGCCTGAAATCATGGCCGAGGTGACAAAATCCCAAAACTCAGGGATGGGCAACGACAGCCGTTGGAAACCGACCAAAAGTCTAGCCCGCGTCATAAATAGGCGACGGGACCCGCCCTGAGATCACGGACGTTATAAACGAAGTCCGAACCGGCTGAAGGACGAGCACACCCTTCGGCCGAAGCCTGAAAGAAGGATGCCCCCCGAAACGAAAAATATATATATATATATATATATATATATATATATAAGGGAAAAAGAGGGAAGCCGACGGCCGCGCACACCAGCCGGCCTCGAGCAATGAAAAAATAAAATCCCCACAACTCAGGCCCAACTAGGCCAAGTACATATCAGTTGAACACAAGTGTAGTACCACTCACAGGTAACATGGACGACACGTCCAGACACTACAAGGGAATAATCAAGGCCGAAGCAAACGCCTATAAAACCCTAACCGCATCGGTTGGGTGACACGCGAGAGGTGACCTTCATCGGCCATAGTCCTTTGAGGCACCACCGCTTGGTATGAAACAAAGAATCACAATCCTGAGGATGACCAGGACGAAGCGGGTACCAGTATACTCCAAGGCCGTTAGCTACTTACACCTATGCATGTGTACTTGGAGAACTCTAAGTTCAAAAGATCAAGGTGAAGGTGCCCTTCTCGTCCACAACAAAAGGATGCAGGCCGACAACGACACTGGTTCAAACACTTGGGAAATCTCCCAAAGCATTTGTCAACAATGAGAAATCCACCGCCAGGACGATGGGAACACCTTTCCACTTGAAGTAAGACGCTTAAGAAAAATTCTAACAAAGAAGAAGAACGGGACAACGCCAGGACGGAGCGGACACCACGGTCAAGGCCGAAAGGAGAGCACCTAAGTGGATCCAAAACACTTAGGAAATTTTTGAAAAAAATCCTAAGTGTGATAATAGTTGAGAAACGACAGCCAGGCCGATCAAGCCACCTGGCCGGAAAGACAGCAACCTGTGCGCCCTTACCGGCCACAACACATGGACCCAAGCCGACCACCCTGATCAGACCAAAAACAAGGGGACACAACGGCCACAAAGGACACTGGGCTGACAACGTCAACATCGGTTCAACACTTAGGAAATTTCTTAGAACACATGATTAACAGTGCAAAGGGGGTGTCACATCAAGACGATGAGAACACCCACCCACTCGAGGTTCCGATACTTGGTAGATTTTCCTAAGTCCTAAACTCCAAAGTACTTAGACATAACAGTAAACGAGACGACGACGCAGACAGCAAGTACTACGAAAACATTTCCATTCAATATAAATTGAGTACAAGGAGGGCTTCTAGGCCGTTACATAGCACAAAGAAAGATAAAACTACAAAGGATCAGACCTCTGGAGGGGCTTCAGAGTCTTTCTCGGCCTCAGGACCCCCCTCGGCCGTGACAACAGATGTACCGGCAGGGGCAGCCGACGTGGCAGTATCTTCGAACATGCTCCGCTCATACGCCCAGTCATCGCTGATGCGTGAGCTCTCAATAGGGAGCTGCCGCTCGGCCACCGGAAGCTCCAACTCTGCCTCAGGATGCTTCATCAAAGGAGGCAACTCGAGGCCGAAGGCCCACTCTTTGGACACACCGATATCCATGAAACGCCGTTGCAGCCTCCTGTACAACAACCGTTGCATCCGGTATTGGCCAAGGTCATAAAAGACCTTCATCTCCTTCTCCCAATAGGCCTGGCCGTCGGGGGATTGGTTCACCCAGTCAACGAGTCTGGCCGCCACGACCTCAAAACAGAATGGAAGCCGGCCCTCGTCCTTCCAACCGACTTCAATAAACTTCTGCACAGCGGCATCAGCGGCTTTCTCCTCGGCAGCGACGAGAGCCAACTCTGCACTAGCCTTGCCCTTCTCGGCCTCCTCGGCGCGCTGAAGGGCCTCATCGCGGGCACGCTCCACGTCGGCCAAGCGCTGGAGAGCCCCCTCCTTCTCAGCGGCCAACTGGTCGGCCTCGTCGGCCCTCTTCTTAAGGCCCTCAACCTCAAGACGCAGCCTCTCTAAGCTGCCTAGCGCCTCATCGGCTGAGGCAACCTTCTGCTCAAATTGCCTCAGACGGGCAATCTCTTTTTGTTGCCTCCTGTTGTTCTCCATCAACATGAAGGCACCCTGCAGTAAAAATAAGTTAGAATACTTTGCAACAAAAAATGGCGAAGAAAGTAAGACGAAGCGTGCACGGTTACTCACTTGGACGACGTGGTCCATCCCACCATCGTACATCTTCACGTGGCCGAGCTTCTTCAGATAAGCCTGGTCTTCATCAGGGATGGCCTGAGAAATCACCCGTGGCCGTCAACGATTTCATTGAACAGCCCCCCTTTGACGGGGTACTCTACCTCGAGCTTATAGGTCCCTCTGACCAGCTCTCGACCGGACCCTTTCTTCCGGGCGGCCGTTGAGGGAGCAAGAATAGTGGAAAGAGTGGTGGACGACGGGCCTGAAGGGTGGTCCACCATAGCATCAGGATTTGAACCCTCTCCGTCCCCAGAAGGAACAACCGACGTCCCAGCATCGCCGGCGGAAGAAGCCCTCTTTGACTTCTTGGGAGGCTTCATTCCCACCTCCGTCAACTTCTTCTGGCCCTCTTCGGCCTGCCTCTTCTTCTTCGGCTGCACCGGCGGCTTGGCCGCAGCAGTAGCCCCAGGTTGTTGGGCCTTCAGCTCCTCGGCCGCTTTGAGTTGGGCCCTCTTCATGAACGACATGCGGTCCATCACAAAACATGCATCACAAAAAAAAAACACTAAGGGTTAGAAAGCAAAATACGAAAGTACGACAAGGAAGCACGTCAGAAGGGACTTACCATCGGCCTCAGCTGGCACCCCCAGATCGGGACCATCAACCTCCTCATAGGACGTGGTCATCTTCGGCCACAACTCCACATCATCATCGAGATCACCATACATAAAATACCGTACAAAGCCGAGGGCGGCCATCTTGTACTCGGTAATATATGTCTTCACACTCCTCGGCCCCCCCTCCAGGAAGGCCTCAACTTGAGCGTCCGGGATGGAGCTCCTCGGCGCATCATGAAGATTAAAACGGCCTGTGTGGCCGACAGAGGGAAACTCTGTGCCCCCCTCGCCCAGAGACACGAACACAAACTTCCCTTTCCACCCATGGATGGACGTCGGCAGGTCTGTGAAACTCCTCTTCTTGGGAAGTTGTTGAAGGGTGGCATACGACGCACAGTTCTGATGACTCCCACGGCCTATCTGATACAAGTTCATAAACAGCGCCGTCGTCGGCCTGAAGTCCAATTCAGCACACCGCAGGATGAAGCCGACGATGAGGGAGTAGCTATTCGGCGTCAACAAGGCCGGAGGGAGCCCCACCATATCCAGGTACTCAGTGATAAAAGGATGAAGCGGAAACCTAAGCCCTTTAGCAAAGCTCATCGGGTACACTCCGAAGTAGCCCGGGGGAATTGAGGACATGGTCCGTCGGCCTGGGGGCCCTAACCCTGCCGTACGGCCCCACATACATTTGGGCGACCAAGTATTCCCCCGCATTACTCTGCGGCCTGATGACATAGATGTTCGTCAAATCAAGGTGAGAAAAGGCTGGCCCTCTCTTCGGCCTCCTAACCCTCCTCGGCGGTGCAACGCCCTTCAAAGCAGACACAGGTTTAGGGCAAGGGATGGCAGCCGACGTGGATGCCCCATCAGCTGTTCGAGAGACCCCCGCGTCCTCACCCCCAGACGATGACGCAGACCCCTCGTCCGCATGGTCCTCTTCGGCCGGCTCCCCGGTACGGAACGAGCTCAGATTCTCAATCTCCTCACAGAACTCCTCGAGAAGGTCATAATCAAGGGCCTGGGCAGAGGGCTCGTCGTCCTAAGGATAGTACTCCTCGTTGAGGTTTTTCATCTTAAACACTATCTCGAATATACTGCAGCCTACTTCAAGATCTAAGGATACTCAAGGGCCTAACACTAGATCACTAGCCTAGGAAGCAAAACATGCAAAGTACAGAGAGGATTTCGATGAACACTAACCTTGAACAAACGAAGAACACGAAGAACAAGCTTCAGAGTTTATCTCTCTAGAAATCCGGGCAGCACTTCGACAAAACTCAGAAAGCAAATGAGTTTTCTCGTCGGAGGGGGAGGGGTATTTATAGAACCCCCCACCCAACGGTCACTACACGTGGCACCCTCCCAATGGCCACGTCAACGGCCACCAATGAGAGGCCGCCACGTCAACAACGGGCCAAGCAAAACATCAAGAGCCCACCAGCAAAACAGACTCTACGGCCTCTACGCTTGCCGGCTTCACAAGTGCCAGCAAGCGCCCACAGCGGCCTATTCACATACCAAATTCACAAGTGCCAACGATAGGGAGATGACAACGGCCAGGAACGTAATGAACGACCACAGGACCAAAGGAACAAAAACCCACAGCCGTCGGCTCCTCGTAACGACCCTTGATGATAACTCTTTACAAGTGATCTGCGCACAAGGGTTCTCCCACAGGGTTACCTTGGCCAGAAAATCGCCATAAGGGTTGGATTCAGGGGCACTACGGAGAGGCCGCCTCGGCCTGGGACTCAGGCAACTCCTTCACCCCTCAAACTATTCGGCCTGAAGAAGTGGGGGACTGGGGGACTACACCGGCCTCAACAAAAACAAAAGAGAATGCAAACAAGGTAACCACAGAGCATGGCCACATCGGCCATGCGTCACACTGCACCTCGTCGACCGAAGGCACACAACGTCATCTGCAACGGCCAACGGGCCACCAAAGGCAAGGACGCTCATCGTCCTTCGCCATCACTTAATCACGAGGGGCTCTTCGGCCAAAAACATGAAAGCTAATCAACGACGGCCAAAAGGAGTGCGCAAACACCCCCATCGGCCACCCAAAGGAAAGGACGCCATCGTCCTCAGAGCAAGGAACAACCTCAACGGCCTCATCGGCCCAAACTTCAACCATCAACGCCCATGAAAAGAAAAGCGTGCCTTCAACGGCCACCATCGAAGCGGGAGACTCATCGTCCTCGAATGAACACACCAAAGAGGAAACAACGCCAACGCCGCAACGGCTAACGACCCGGGGATGCCCGCATCGGCCAAAAGCGCTAAAACACGGGAATCTACTCTCCTTCACTTCGTCTACGTCTCAGCTTAGAGAGTGGGGGACTCCTGATGGAGTATATGGGTCTGAGCCCCTGGACCCACATACTCGGAAGAACAGAAAGCACAAGACACAGAGTGGCGCCTCGTCGGCCAAGACGCCCCCGTCGGCCGAAAAGGGGCCAACTCAGATTATGGTCCTGAGCCCAAGGAACTCGGGTGCCCTCGTCGGCCGTGCCCTCGTCGGCCACGCCCTCGTCGGCCACGAAGACCTCCCAGAACCGGATTTTATACTTATTCATTTGTACAGCCCATTAGTGGCTTTGTATTCGGCCCAGTAGCGGTCCAGTTGTAAATGGGCCTCCCAAGCCCAAGGCTTGGGAGCCCAGCCCGTATTTTCTCTATAAATACTCCCCTTGGGAGTAGTTGTAGGGGTTGAGAATTCATTAATACCAAGCAAATATACTACTTCTCTCTCTAGCTCTCACTTCTCTCTAGAGATATACTCTATCAATATATATATATATATATATATATATATATATATATATATATATATATATATATATATATATATATATATATATATATATATATATATATATATATATAGGGTGCGGTTCCAGTGAGAACGATGCTTATAGTGTTTGATAAATTTAGGTATCTCTACAATGACGACACCCTATTTGGCATTTATTATCTTGCAACTATATTAGTTTCATGTATGGAAAGAATTCAAACTACGTATAAATAAAGTGTTTGATAAATTTAGGTGCTCAATACATTTAAAAGACACCTTACTTTTAAAGTTCATTACAAGATATTTAAAGTTCTTGAACACACAAGTACCATTATCCATTGCATAACTACCGGTATTTATTACACCAACCAACATCATACATAAATTTCATACTCCGTATAGCATGCACAA